CTTTAAGATAGTGTGCCTGGTCATTGACCCTGGCATTGACCTGTATTAATATATGATTGACTTGTAGATAAAACCCCCTGAATGAGATGGTGCCATGACAGTTCCAGAAAGCCCTACCAGGGTCGAAACTCTCCCACCTGAGATAAAGGAGGAGTTAAACATCTAATTGGTGAAGACTGCAGAAGGTAGATCCCAGTTCTCCTGGAAATCAAGAAACAGTAATAAATTTGGAAGATATCTATCTATCTATATCTATATCTATATAGACATTCTTTGCCATTCACTGATGGAAGAAGCATCCCCTACCTCCTTCTCTCTCCAGTGTTCTTAAGCCTTACTTTACTTTCACTTACAATAAACCCCCCCTTGTGTGTTTTTGTGTCTAACTCTAAATTTTCCTTTGTCAGGACACAAACACTGAGGTTTGGAGCTCTGGCTGCCTATTCTTCTTTGCCTTGCTTTGTGCCCTCAAGGGAGGTTGACTTTTATAGACTATTTCAGACAAGTTCCTTATTGACTGACTTCAGATTGGGTTCTGATAATGAAGGAATAAAAAAGAGATTATAGAGCAGAAGGAGGAAAAGATCAGTGAATTCTACATGGTACTGGCCATACTTCAGGTGGCCCTTCTTCCATGGTTGTTTTTCTTTCTGTGTTCTGGTAATATAGCTCCCCCCATCTTTTCTTGCTCTGTTGGGGATCAAACTAGGCCTTGTGCAAGCTAGGGAAGTTCTTTACTACTAGCTATACCAACAGTCAGGTGCCCTCTTTTTGCTTCTATGGGACTAGGAATGCTAATAGCTTTTAATTATTAGCTTAGTTTGTTCTAGGCATGTATGTGTAATAATTCATTTAATCCCTAATAAGGCCAACAGACATGTACTGTTTTTTTGGGTACCTCACAAACTTTGATAAATCCTTCCTTACCTTTCTTACCTCTGTAAATACTTTCTTTGTTAAAATTCTCTTGAATTAAGCTCTTCAGGTGACGCCATAGAGCAATTAGAAAAGGGCTATTATAAAGCCACAAAAATCCTAATTGTAGTTCAATTAAACATATTTAATAAGCTAGGAATACTTAGCACTAAAAATGCAACAGTATGCTTTTTGTTTTGGTCCCGGGGAATGAACCCAGGGGCACTCCATCACTGAGCCACATCCCCAGCCCTTTTTTGTATTTTATTTATAAACAGGATCTCACTGAGTTGCTTAGAGCCTCACTAAATTGTTGAGGCTGGCTTTGAACTTGCGATCCTCCTGTTTCAGCTTCCTGAGCTGCTGGGATCACAGGCCTGCACCACCACGCCGGGAAGCATCAGTGCACTTTCAGTGCTCACTTGGTCAGGGTTTGTTGTTCTAATTATAAAATTTTCTCTGCAACAAGTAATTTGACATGGTGAACATTCTATTTCTCATCACATAGCAATTGCTTCAATTCAAAAGAATTCAGGAGAAAGAATCTTCACAATTCTTTTTAAGCCATAAACAAACTATACTTCTACCCCCTACATTGATCTATGTCATATATCACATCCCTACATATCTCCACTATCCTAACAAGCTCTAATCCAAACCTGCTTGCATGCTCCTCAACCCCAGCATGGACATTAAAATTACCCAGGAAGAGTTTCTGAAAATACTCATGCCCAGACCTCACTGCAGCATCTCTAGGGATGATGACACTGATACTGTTTAAAATCTCTTTAAATATCCTAAAATGAAGAGTTGAGAACAAAGCTACAAAATAAAAATAAAACAAACCAGATCACACAAAATGATATGACTACTCTCAGGTTGGGGCTGTAGCTCAGCAGCAGAGCACTTGCCTAGCATGCTTGAGGCACTGGGTTCAATCCTCAGCACCACATAAAAATAAACAAATAAAATAAAGGCATTCTTTCCATCTACAACTACAAAAAAATTAAAAAAAAAGACATGAGTCTATATTCATACAGAATATTTTGTGTCTAAGAAAGCTGATTCTTTCTCAATAAATTTTCTATGAGCTTTTTAAAAAACTCCACTAACCTTCAACTTTTGCACATTGGAACATTGACTGAGAAACCTTCAGCTGGTTTGCCTTCCTTGTTTGGCATGCATGGTTTGTTGACAAACCGTCCAGAATAAGGCAAAAGAAGGTCACAATTAAACAAGCCCCCAAGTCAGCAGAGGTTTTCTACAGTGAGGTTTTTCTTAGAATCCTAAGAAAGGGTAAAAATGCATATATAAATGTTCAGGCAAATAGAGAGTTTGCTTACTGGTGTGGGGGTGGAGAAAAAGCTATTGTGAACAAAGAAGTGATGCCTTTGATATTTTTAAAGAACTCCTTAAGGATCAAATAGAAGGTACACTGTATATTTGTTTTGCATCATATTTTTGAGTTCTTTGTTATGGAACAGAGGGCTCTTCTAAAAAGACTAAAAGGCAATGACAATAAACACAATTAATTTGAAATAAAGATGGAACAATCAAATAATTCTCAGTCTAAATTAGGACTATAGCAATATGAAAAAAAAGAGCAGTCAAATATATTTTCTATCCCAGTTTGTTAAGGTGACCCAATGTTCTACGTTTTGTCAGTTCCATTTTTACAAAGGGCCTACTCTATGTAGAGAGTGTCTTTAAGCACTATTTTACAAAGAAATGCAAATACCTGTGCTTTCTCTATTTAGCTTAATAATATCTTTTCTTGGACTGGGGCTGTAGCTCAGTGGTAGAATGCTTGCCTCACATGTGTGAAGCACTGGGTTCTATCCTCAGCACCACATAAAAATAAACAAAAAGATATTGTGTTCATTTACAACTAAAAATAATATTTAAAAATAATCTTTGTGAGAATTGGCAGCTCACAAAATTATGTGAAGTATTTCATAAGGGGCAGGAAGCTTTCTCATACCTCTTTGGCAGTAATCACTGCCTACAGGTTGCTACTGTAAGTGATTGTACAAACAATGAAACAACTGAAGTTGGCTTCTTTCATTTCTGATCTGCCCTTACTCCACTTCCTTCCAAGTCCCTCCTTCATCTCTTAACCTACATTGACTTAGTAAAAATTTGTTTCCCTTTAAGCTTCAAGTTGTCTAAGTATTTTAGGTACTTGGGTTATCTCAATTAACCAAACAGACCCCCAAACTAAACTAAACAAAGAAACCATGCCCTCCTGGAAGGAGTTGTCCTTGAGTACAAGAAAATTTGTAAATTAAAGTAATTCAGTTGAAGTAGGGACTCATGGTGAGTAGAATGATAAAGTATAAGTGACTACTCCTCCCCCCCATCTCTGGAAAGAAGACTTGGAAAGTCTTCCTTTGCTTTCTAGAAAGCAGTTTCAGTCAATTACATTTGACTTTTAAAGTCATGGATTGCATACACGTCTGTTCAGATGCTTACCTACAGGTGTCAGTAACATATTTTAACAATCCAGATAATTAAAAATGATTCTAGATAATATTAACATGAAAAACATTAATTGTACCTTTGTATCATCTATCTATCTCTCTTTCTCTCTTTCTATATATATATGTAAACTTTTTTTTTTTTTGGTAGTGCTGGGGATTGAACCCAGGGCCTCATGTTTGCTAGGCAAAAGCACCATATCCCCAGCACCCCTAAGCTACTTTTATATATTTATATCATTTGGTGGTCCTAACAATCTTATGACTGAAGAAAGAAAAGTAGCTTTATTAGGCCTTTCTGCACATAATAAGTCTTAAAGAATTTGTGTTACTGGATGAAATTGAAAGGACCAAGCTTGGATGAGAATACCCTTTAAAAAGTTATGTCTGGTTACCTTTTCATGTTCTACTGAATCCTACTTGGTATAAAAAGGCCTTAGCCTTAGGTGTTTCAGTCTTGTTAGGGAAATACCATAGGGTTAAGTCCTAAATTGTTTAGTGCAGAAAGCAGTAATTAAGAATGGAAAAGAAATAACTTGAGTAGCTGGGAACGTTTACATGTAAAATGGTCGTGGGGATGGTTGTGGGGGGGCGGCTTTTGTACTTTCCATTACATTTAAGAAACTTCAAAGTCCTTACTTTATGTCATACTTTGCTGGGTGAGAAGTTTACAGAAGCAGTTAGGACTAGTTTCTGCCTTGAAGGATCTTTGTATATAGGGAGTAGGTCACAGTGTCCTGAACTGGATTCTGAAGAACTGATTAGGATTCACATGGGCCGGCGCTCAGAAGGAAGAGTGGGTTAGAAAAGCAGATCGAAAGACAGGATACAAGGCATTCAAAGGATAGATTTCTGAGAATTGAAGGAACCCCCAAAGTTTGTTTGATATGCAAAATGCTCCGTTTTTCGTTTCTTGTTAAGATATTCACCATGGACATATTTGGAAGCGGGGACAAAAATGACTTATTTCAGTTGTAAATCCTATGCCTCCCCTCTTTAAGCTTAGAATTCATCCCTTAGCGGCCACACTCAAAGTAAACTCTTTCTATTAATATAACAACAGGTGGTCAGAAAACTTGGATTTGAGCCATACCTATGCCACTTAGTTTGCGTCACCTTTTCCTTCTCTAAGACGAGGGTAATCCAAAAGGCCGCCTCTCAGGGTTTTGTGAGAGTGATTTAAAACAATGTCTGTGAAGGTACTTTCTCTGCCACACGCAAGGCGCTTTTATCTCCGGGTTCTTCCCAGTCTTGGCGACTGTGAGATTTGGGGCATCACTAATCAATACGGATTATTAAGCATCTTCACAAAGGCCAGACTGTGTCTCTCAGGTCTTTCCACCCACTCCTGGAGGCAAGAAAAAAAAGGAGGCAACAGACAACTTTGGTTACGGCCGGGTCGGGGGAAGAAAAAGCCTAGCGTGAGGAAAACTGCAAATATCTACGCTAGCACACGCGCACAGGCCACGCCGCGCTTTTCCCTTTGAGGGCGGGGCAGACGATGACGTACACACGTCGTGCGCGCTGACGTCCTCATTGCGCGCGCCGCCGGTCTGCGTCTGCTGTTGCCCGGTGCGCGTCGCACGCGCTTCCGGCCCGGCCGTTAGAGGGCGGAGCTTCCGCCTAGACCGGGGTGGGCGCGTTCACCTGCTGTGCCGGAGTAACTTTTCTGTAGTTGTTGTCCAGCTGTAGTCACGTGAAAGTGTGGCGTCGAGAGAGTTTTCTGATTCTCTTTGCAAAGTCATCTTCTCTGCGGTCGTACAAGCGGTGACTCCGTCATGCCGAACTCGAGGTCCAGGCCTCGCCGGGGCGCCGGGAATGGCTCCGGGGCTGCCGGCCGGGACGAGTTGGTGTCGCGGTCCTTGCAGAGCGCTGAACATTGTCTTGGTGCCCAGGACTTCGGCACTGCTTATGCCCACTACCTCCTGGTGCTCAGCCTGGCGCCGGAGCTGAAAGACGACGTGAAGGTGAGGTCTCTTCTCCGTTCTTGTAAAAAAGTTAAAAACAAAAAACGGCAGGCAGGTGAAGGGTCCTGGGTACCTGGTAGTTGCTATTAGTACTTATTGTTCATCCTTGCAGCCTTAATTTTATTCACATTCATGATCTGCCAGCAGAAAATCCTGTCGGCTCCACCTTCAAAATTATGTCCAAAATCCTATCGGCTTTTACTGTTTTGTCCTTTATACCCTGGTTCAAGAATCCACCTGCAGATTGTTGCAGTGGACTCTCTACTGGTTTCCTTCCTGTAGTCTGTCTCAACACGGCCAGCTTTTTGGTACAAAAGTCAAAAACTATGTCACTTCTCTGTTTCAAAACGTTCATTTCAGTTGAAGTTCCCACAGCCTTCGGATCCCAAATGAGGCCTTAGGTGATGTGCTCCCTCATGCCCCTGTCGTGGAGCCTTTGCATTTTTGTTTAGAAGGAATACTGTGGGTCTCTGTAGTCGAATAAAGTGTACAGTTAACCTGAAGTAATCATTGTTTGATGATGCATCTTTTAGTTTCAATTATTATTTGCAACAGTTACTCTGTTGAAATACTGTTGTTTTTTCCCAAATGGTTTTAGAATCCACATTTTGAAAAATGATTCAACTTAAATTTCATAGTCAGTGTTCAGTTGCAAGCTAGTTGGCTTAATTTAATTTAACCTAGGGTTTCTCATCCTCAACCTTGTTGATATTTTGAATGGAAAAACTTCTTTGAGGGGCTATCCAGTGCATTGGTAGAATATTTTAGCAGGTTCCTTGTTCTCTGCCCACTAGATGTCAGTAGCATCTAGACTTTCATAGTTGACACAAATTATCTTAGTGTAAATTTCAGGAGCAACTGGCTTCTTCAGAAGAAGTTGATAGTTTGCCCCTTTGTGTAGGAGTCTTTAGGGTAATAAATCAACCCAAGTGCTCTTTCCTCAGTTCTTTGTTTTTTAGTTTCTTCTGTACACAGGGACAATATCTATCTTTAAAGTATATATGGACCAGTGCTGTGGCACATGTCTATAATCCCAGTAGTTTAGGAGGCTGAGGCAGGAGGATCGTAAATTAAAAGCTAGCCACCAGCCTCAGCAAAAGTAAGGTGCTACGCAACACAGTGAGACCTCTAAATAAAATACAAAACTGGAGGTGTGCCTCAGTGGTTGAGTGCCCATGAATTCAATCTCTGGTACCAAAAAAAAAAAAAAAGAAAGTATATATGAAATTTGTATTGCAATACCTGGCATTCATTGAGGTTCAGTAACTGGTTCTGTTTCCTTCAGAACGAAGTTTGTGTTTGTGTGTGTGTGTGTGTGTATAAAATTTTTTTAAACATTTATTTTTTATTTGTAGGTGGACACGAAACCTTTATTTTATTTTTATGTGGTGCTGAGGATCGAACCCAGTGCCTCACGCATGCTAGGCAAGTGCTCTACCATTGAGCCACAATCCCAGCCCTGTATAAAATTTCTTAAAAAATTTATATATATATATAATTTCTAGGGATTAAGCCCAGGGGGACTTAACCACCCAGCTCTTTTTTATATTTTATTTTGAAACAGGGACTCACTAAGTTGCTTAGTGTGTTGCTAAGTTGCTGAGGCTGGCTTTGAACTTGTGGTTTTCCTGTCTCAGCTTCCCAAAGTACTGATATTACAGGCATGCATCACCACACCTGGCTATCAAGTTCATATTTCTTAGCAAAAGTTTCATTTGCAGAAATTTCATTTCCTGCCACTCTCTCCGTTTCCCATACCCACACTCTGGCTGCACCAGGCTACTTATCTGTAGAGCCTCTGATCATTTCATATAATTTCTGTGTTTCCCTCACAACTGAGTCTCCTTTCTTATCATTGTCTGTGTAGTAATTTCCATTCATGTTCAACTTCAAATATCAGCTCTTCTGTATAAAAGTATGTGAAGTTTTTGACTTAAAATATCATGGAATGTCAGAAGTGTACTCTCTTTGCAGAGTTGCCTTTTTTTGTGTGTGTGTTGGGGATTGAACCCAGGGGTACTTTACCACCAAACTATCCCCAGCCCTTTTTATTTGTTTATTGGTTTTATTAAGTTGCTCAGGGCCATCCTAAGTTGCTGAGGCTGGCCTTGAATTTGTGATCTTCCTGCTGAGTTGTTGGAGTTACAGGTGTCTGCCACCACATCCAGCATCTTTTCACAGTGTTACCATGTGGAAATTGGTTTGAGGGAGATGAGAATGGAGCTAGGGTGACAGTGAGGAGGCGATTGCTGTAGTCTCACAGGTGATTACAAGAAACAAATTAGGTTGTAACAGTGGTATTTAGAAGAGGGGACAGATTTAAAGATATCGAGTGAGGATTGGCTGAATATGAAACATCACATGTGGAGTTGAAATAACATTAAAAGGTGGCGACTTTGTGGGTTGATGCTGATTGGTACCTAAACCTTAAATCCTCTGAAGATCCTCTGAAGAATGTGGTGGATCCAGTTTAGAACATTTTGAAAATTTTCAAAATTATTTGTGAATTTTCTCTGTAGGGCCTCAGCATAGGGACAAGATTTATGTTGTTTTCATTGTGGTTTGGCCCCAGTTCTTTGCACACTGATTGCTGTGGAATATTTGAATTAAACTAAATTTGAGAAGTATGGGAATTAAGTGCCTGTCTGGTTGAGATGATTAGCAGGAAGCTATATTTATGAGTCTGATGACTAGAGGAGAGAGTTTTAATTGGAGATGGAAGTGTAGCACCATTAACACATAGGTGATAATTAATGCATTGGGGATGGATAAGACAAGAGGGCTAAGGACAAAGTCAAACTCAAGTGCCCACAAAAAAGGAGGAAGAAGAGAAATAGTAGAGTGATATGGCAGCTAAGAATGGAAGGAATATACAGAGTGGCCAAATTGTCTAGTTCTGTATATAATTGCCATGTAGGTGGTAAAATTCCCTCATTTGTGTATGTGTTTGTAAGCAGTACTTACTACAGTTAAATGACTTAAAATGATTGTTTAATAGTAAGTTCCAGTCTCTGGAATCTTCAGTATTCTGTATTCTTTCAGCTCTATTGACAACCTTTTTTTCTTTGTTTCTAAAGGAAACTTTTCAGTATACGCTCTTGAAATGGGCTGAAGAGCTTGATGCACTCAGTCGAACACAAGACTTACTTGGTTGCTATGAGCAGGCCTTGGAACTCTTTCCTGATGATGAAGTAATTTGCAATAGTATGGGGGAACATCTCTTCAGGTTTGTAATGATTTCTGTATTTCTAGTTAAGAATTATTCTGTATCTGTCTGAATCAGAGATCAATTATACAGTAATTTGAATAGGGGAAGCTTAATGTAAAGAATTAACCATTATAGGGGATTGAAGTAATGAGGGATTAGCTAATAACAAGAGAACTTAAAAGAGTATGAGAATAGCAGATATAAAATGGAATATCAGTTTTAATACTATATAATCATCCCTGCACCTATGGCTAGGATAGAGTATTCAAGGAAGAGTCCACCTAATGGGCTGAGAGGGCATAGCTGTGATTCACAGGGTGTCAGATAACTTGTCATTTGGTTCTCTGGAACTTGCTAGAATTTTGCTGGTTGGGGTGCTAGAGAGTCTCATGGAGAAGTATCAAATTGGAGACATTCTGTTACAAAAGCACCCAGGAGGGGGATTCTTGGGGGATGCAACCAATCACTGAGTACTGTTGCCTCCCTCAGGAGCCTGATGCTGGAGAAGCCCTGTGATTCTAGGACTCTAGGACCTGGAAGCAAAACCCTTTCCTCCTGTAGTGTCCCCAGCATTTTTTAAATGATGGTTGGAAAAATATTAAAAGAGCGAGATACATTTTTATGCACCGCAGGCAAAAGGGGAGAATTTAGTAATAAGTCAATAACTGGCTATCTTAGGAGTCTTTCAGACCATTCCCAAGTTTGCTGATTTGTTAGGATGGCTCACAGGACTCAGTATATAGTTGTCATGGCTGTGATTTGTTATCGTGAAAGGACATAAAGCAAAATTAGCAAAGGGGAAAGGTTCATGGGGCAGTCTGAAGGAAACCAGGTGCAACTCTCCCAAGGTACTCTCTCAGTGAAGTCACCTTGGGTATACTTCCTTCACCTTGTAATGAACACAAGTGGAATGTTGCCAATCAGGGAAGCTCATTAGAAACTCTATATCCAATGTTTTTGTGGGTGTTTAGGACATTTGGGTATCTACCTTCTGTGTAACATATACCAAAGTTCTAGACTCCCAGAAGAAAAGCAGATATTCAGCATGAATCACACTATTTGTACAAACTGTGAGCTGCTCTTATTAGTTAGGGCAGGGGAAATGTCCCAGAATCCCAGAAACCAGCCAAAAGCCAACCTCGTAAGCAGACCTTTCAAAGGGTTATTAGTTCCACTTGCCATGTTAACTCTTTTTGCATTCCAGCACACATGAATAAAAAGATTTGAGAAAATATAGAAATACAATGAAAGGTTAACATCGCTTCTGCTTCTGAATTAGAAAATTTCAAAGTAATATGGTGAGATCATGGTTCTGCCAAGTTGGGAAATGGCTATTGTATAAATTTGTAACAATTTATGAATTAATGAGTCTCATTTTACATTTTCCTTTTAGTTATTTTTATGCATTTCCCTGTTAATTGCCTCTTCCTCCATTCAAGTCATATCCACCTAAAATTTGGTGTCATTCATAAAGGACTACAGAGCTCTTAAGGGACAACAATTTCTCTTAAGTACATCTTGATTCTATTAACTGTCAGTAATCAATTTGATACACTTGTCTTAATGCCTGTGAGCCTCTAATTTGACTCAGTGAACAGTAATAGTACAAGGTCAGGGCTCTGGGGAAAGGTACATATATAATTTGTGCAGTTCTCAGAGTTAATTGTTTAAATAGCTCATTGTTATACATACATTTTTATTTCAGTATAGAGACATATGTTTTGTAAATAACTTTTATATTTCATTTTGAGACAGGATCCTGCTAAGTTGGCCAGGCTGTCTTTGAACTTGTGGTCCTCCTGCCTCAGCTTCCTGAGAAACTGCTGGGATTACGAGCATGTGTCACTGCACCCAGCTTTGATGTATAGAATTTTTTGTTAACAATTACTTGTTGAAAACAAGTAATATCCATTCAAGTCGTATCCATTTTAGCTGCCGAATAGAATGCCTTTCTGTTGAGGTTGCTTAAAATGTTGATGAAAAAGTGAGTGAAGATTGACTTTATATTATGTATTAATGTGAGTGTACATAAGTGTTTTTATAAGTGAAATATGATTTCTTTCTATAGAACACACTTTTTTTTTTTTTTTCCACATTGGAATTCTTGTGTACTCTTCATGGGAACTTTATTATTAGGAAAGCTGGAAGAAATCAAAATCTATTCTTTCATTTGCCTTAATAACTGGGCTCACTGCTTTGTGTAAATTAATAGAATTCTTATTTAGGAAAATAATAGGACTCTTATTTAGGAAACACCATTAATGCTTTATTTTCTAAAGAAATATCATTTTAACATATTCTAGTAATTGTTTTCTAGTATTTTTCTTTCCTTTTTGGGTTGTATTAATTTTTATTCATTTAAGAGTTTTGTATAAAAAATACTCTTATCAAATGTTGTTAGTCCCAGTGATACAGCAGTGTTAATTAACATGGTCTGGGGAATCAATGACTACTCCTTTAAGAGACAAATATTTGATAATTTCTAATATGATTAGAATCAGAAAAAAATATAATTAGGAAAATAAGGCAGATTGTCACCTGAGGCTTGTTTTGTTTTCGTATTAACAACTAACCTGATGAGGCACCTTTTCTACAAATTAGCAACCTTCCATTTAAATGAAATTTATTTAAAAATATCTTTCAATAATTCCTCAAATTAGTAGAAGCCTACAAAATTTTAATTTAGAGTTTTCTTTTTTCTTAAGTTTAGATAAGGGGCTGGGGTTTTGGCTCAGTGGTAAAGTGCTTGCTTAGCATGAGTGAGGCACTGGGTTCGATCCTCAGCATTACATAAAAATAAATAAAATAAGGTATTGTGTTCATCTACAACTAAAAATATTAAAAAAAGTTTAGATAAGGGGAATTATTCTTGAATTCCATTATATTTCTAGATTATACACACACAGTGTTCATAACATTACAAGACAGTGTTGCAGAATAAACTCAATGTAACAGAAAATTATTGTAGATCTACACAGTTTTGGCAGATTAAACATTGACTTTAACAGTACAACTGCCATAAACTGGTCTGGCAGCAAATACAGCTGACTCTTAATGACCATTTGACTCAGGTACTGGGAGAAAAGGTCTGCAGGCACACTAAAGAGGACCCACTAGTCCTGGGCATTAGTATGTTTTACAGAGGGAATGGTTTTAGAACAAACTGGTATTTCAGCAGGTGGATTAATTGGAGGATGCCTGTAACAGTTGCTTCTGTAACTTAGTTCAATATTTATTCATACTCAAGTACTTATTAAGGTTCTGGGATACATATAGACAGTAGATATTTAGAAAAGAAAGAAGTCTTGAGAATTGCAGTTCCACAGAAAGCTTGCCAGAGGAATTAGTTTCCTATCTTCAGGATTTGGAGTGTTGGTGTGGGCCAGGTGAGTGGCATGAACAAAGGCAGTAATTGCTAGCACAGAGTTGAATGTATTTTGTCTTTTTCACTGTTTTACTCTAGAATGGGCTTTAGAGATGAAGCAGCTGGATATTTTCATAAAGCAGTGAAGCTAAACCCTGATTTCAGTGATGCAAAGGAGAATTTTTATCGTGTCGCAAACTGGCTGGTGGAACGCTGGCACTTTATCATGCTTAATGACACCAAAAGAAATATGATTTATAATGCAGCAATCCAAAAGGCGGTATGCTCAGGGTTCAAAAGTGTTTTGGACATTGGAGCGGGAACTGGAATTCTGAGGTTTGTTATAGTTGTTTAAATTATATATACATATATATTAATGCACATCAAATATTTGCCAGATATAGAAAATTTGACATTGGAATTTTAAAATAGCAGTCACTTCTCTTAATCTTGCTAGGGTTATTCATACAATCATTATTACTGTATTTTTCTTTATAGCTTTTACTTTATCAAAGGCTGTTGAAACTATGAAGTTTGGGATTATTATTATTTTTTGTATATCTTTATTTTATTTTTATGTGGTGCTGAGGATCGAACCCAGTGCCTCATAGTTGCTAGGCGAGTACTCTACTGCTTGAGCCACAACCCCAGCCCTGGGATTATTATTAAAATTGTATTTTTTGTATTAATAGTCTATTGGAATTTATGAAGCCTGTTTGTGTTTTTCATGTCAGTTGTGCTTCTTAATAGAATAGATGTCATGATTTATGTCTAGACAAGAATGTTCATTTTTAAAGTGCAGAATGAGTAATAGTTGTGTTAAAAAAGAAAAGAAAAAGCCTACGTTTAAAGCATTCCATTGAAATTTGAAAAAATACAGTGGATTTTTTTGTGTGTGTGTATATGATGGAACGCTTTTTTTTTTTTTATAGCATGTTTGCTAAAAAGGCTGGAGCACAGTCTGTGTATGCCTGTGAATTATCTAAAACCATGTATGAACTTGCCTGTGATGTAGTGGCTGCAAACAAGATGGAAGCAGGAATAAAACTTCTACATATGAAGTCACTTGACTTAGAAATTCCAAAACACATTCCTGAAAGGTACTGTTTTATAAACTGATTTTAGTATTTATATACTGCTTTTTAAAAATGTTTATTTATTTATTTTAGTTGTAGTTGGACACAATACCTATATTTTATTTATTTATTTTTATGTGGTACTGAGGGTCGAACCCAGGTCTTACACATGCTAGGCGAGCACTCTACCACTGAGCCACAACTCCAGCCCCTATAATTCACTGCTTTTAAAAAAAATTAAGATACCTTTCTAGCTTCTAGACCTGATAAAAATTCTGTCTTTGTAAAGATATGATAAAGTCTTGAGAAAAATTTGTGGAAGGAATAAAATATATAAACGACCTTTACTTTTGTTAATTTCAGCGTTCTAATTTGTAAAAATGGATAATAATACTGTATAATCAGTAACTATTTGAAAATTGTACTTAAAACCTGAACAGATTAGAGTCAATGGACTTATCACATTTTCTGTTACTATCTTTGTTTATAGTGAGAGCTTTGGAAGTATCAGTTGTCAATGTAGTTTGGCCTGTGCCCTTTAAATGCTTTGAAAATAATCCTATAAGTTTTGGCTTTTTAGTATATATTAGTATGAACTGTATTATGAGAATGATGAAATTTTAGAATTAGAAGATATTTAAGAATCATCTTGTCTAACACTGTTATTTTAAAGATAGTTTTGATTTATTTTTCAGTCTTCTTCCATATATAATGATGTTTGCATAGTACTTGTGTACTTTTCAATGGTTTTATATTTGTTTTTCATGAAAGAAGTCTATTAGGTTATTAAGACAGGTATGCATCCATTTTATAGGGAAAAAAGACACTGTCCTGAATTATCTTAGTCTGCATAACAAAATACCACTGACTGGGTTGCTTAAACCACAGATCTTTTCTCAGGTGAGATTCTCTTCCTGGCTTGCAAATAGTTACCTTCTAACAACATCTTCACATGGCTATTCGTATGTGAATGAGAGAATGATCTCCAGTGTTCCTTCTTTGATAATGAAGCCAGACCTATTGGATTAGGGCACCTGTTTATCTCATTTAGTCTTAATTAATTCCTAAAGGTTCTATTTTCAAATACAGGTATATTAGGGGTTAGATCTTCAACATAAGAATTTTGGGGGGCATATAGTTAATTCCATAGTATGAATCAAACTTAACTTTAATTCAATTTGTATATTTTTTTTTAACAGATAAAGGTGTAGAAAAGTGTACTGACCTTTTATCAGGAAATAAGAAGTTCTATACTCTTAATTCATTTTGACCTTAAGCAGACTGCTAGATTTTGAGATGTTGGATAGATGTTTTGAGATACCTTAAATATTCTAAGTGTATGCAACTCTAAATACTGAATGTTTCTGTATATATGTATAATATTGGGTTTAAGCACTGTTGGGGATACCACAGGCATTCCTGCAGATAGGAAGATAAGAGCTGTTCATTTATTTTCAGACTACAAAAATGCATGGTACTGGAGATAAGAGCTAAAGGTGTTCAGAGAAGGGAGGAATTATTTAGAAGTATCTTTTGAGTAGAATTTTCCAAGAATGGACAGAAATCATGGAAGAGGATTTTGTGAAGACAAAAGAAATGTTGAGTAATGAGAGGCACAGTCAAACTTGCAAGAGGCAAAGTTGGGCTGTGCAGTATCACAGAAGATAGAGGTTGGCTTTTTGAAAGGAAAGGCTCTTAATGGCATTAAATAATATTTGTAGCTCAAGAAAAATTATAACTAAGAAAGATGATTTGTTTTGATAAGGAAAGAGTCATTGTTAATAGAGAATACTTTTATACAGTGTTAGAGTTAGCACTCCAGTTGTTTGATATTGGGAAGGGGACTAGGAAAGGCGGTGGGCATAAACAGCTCTTGAGGATTTAGGCAATCAAAGAACAGCTTGAGCAGGCAGCAGTGCCAGGTGTTGTCAGCCCTCTTGCCCTCATACTAATGGGAAGGAGCCAGTGGAGCATAAAGGGACATGAAGAACATTAGAGTCAAGTTACTCAACAATTTAGGCTAGATACTAAAATAAAATATATTAGAAAGATTTACATGTGGATTGCTTCTATAATATACTCTTCATTTTTCTCTTCTCTCAGCTTGAACATTTTTATATAAATAGCATGCTATTTTACTTACATGTATCTTTAAAAAATCGTTCTATAGAGTGTCCCTAGTTGTAACCGAAACTGTCGATGCAGGTTTATTTGGAGAAGGAATTGTGGAGAGTTTGATTCATGCTTGGGAGCATTTACTTTTGCAGCCAAAGGTAAGCAACATGAAAACAAATTTGAATTTCATTAAGAATTCATTATTCATTATTTCAGCAGAGATTTATTGAGTCCCTAGAGCATTTGCAAAGCAATATGAAGTTTATTTCCTACTGTCAAGGTACATAATGTGTAATTGGAAAGAAATCCATGCCAAAACCTTTGAATAGCCACATAACACAATATATATTTTTGTGCCCAGATGAGCATTATAAAGGTTAAAAAATACTCCAGGAAGAAATTCATAGGAATTGGTGTTACCTTGTGGAGGAACTTCCTATAGAATGCTTAAATATGGTTGTGAAAAGGAGGTACTTTCAGTCCTTCTTCACTCACTGCTGGGAATTTTGGCAGCTCACCAGAAGGGCGTATAGTGATGCTGGGTTGGTAGAGTTTTAAGGTGATTGTTGAACTCAGGCTGCTGACTGGGCAGCACTAACTCTTACATTTTGTATTGAAATCCTCTGTGGTAGGTCACAAATCATAGATATATAACATTTATTATGAAAGAAAGGATATTAACATGGAATAAAACTTTGCTATTTACAGAAATTAATTTGGTTTTAAAATAGCTAAAGGCTGAAAAGAAGAGCAATTTCTTTTTCAAGCAGATAATGATAATTTTGATTTTTAAATTAAAGTTGTACCCCAAAGTCCTATGTTATTTAGACTTACAGTTCTTTCCCTCCCTCCCTTCTCTGTAATTATATTAAGAAAATGTACATACATACATAGTAAATTTTTTTTTGAAAAATTTCTTAAAGTGTTTATTTTAAATTTTAAATTTTTTCTTTTTCTTTTTTTGTGGTGTTGGATTTTGAACCCTTTCTTTTTAATTTTCATTGCTTCTCATTCATGTATATTGCATACATGTGATAGTCATTTTTATTACTATATTTTCAGACCAAAGGTGAAAATGGTAATTGTGATAAGTATGGGAAAGTTATACCAGCAAGTGCTGTCATACATGGGATGGCAGTAGAATGTGCAGAGATAAGAAGACATCATAGGTAAGTAACTTAATACTAAATACTAAAAAATAATAATTTTAAGCAGAATACTGTAGTTCAAATGTTACTTAGTGCATATTTATTTGGGTGGGGATCTGAAGGTTTTTTAAAATTCTTATTTGTATATGACAGCAGAATGCATTACAATTCACATTACACATATAGAACACATTTTTTCATATCTCTGGTTGTATACAAAGTATATTCACATCATTCATGTCTTCATACGTGTACTTAGGGAAATGATGTCCATCTCATTCTACCATCTTTTTACACCTCTTGCCCCCTTTCTTCCCCTTCCTCCCCTTTGCCCTATCTAGAGTTCCTCTAATCTTCACATGCTTCCCCTCCCAACCCCACTATGAATCAGTCTCCTTATATCAGAGAAAACATTTGGCATTTGGTTTTTTGGGATTGGCTGACTTCACTTAGCATTATATTCTCCAACTCCATCTATTTACCTGCAAAAGTCATGATTTTATTCTCTTTTAATGCTGAGTAATATTAGATTGTGTATAAATACCACATTTTCTTTATCCATTCATCTACTGAAGGGCATCTAGGTTGCCATTGATGTGGCTGTGTCCCTGTTGCATGCTGTTTTTAAGTCCTTGTTTTTTAGACCAAGGTGTGGGATAGCTGAGTCCAAAGGTGATTCCATTCCCAGTTTTCCAAGAATCTCCATACTGCTTTCCATATTGGGTGCACCATTTTGCAGTCCCACCAGCAATGTATAAGTGTGCCTCTCCCCCCCCACATTCTTGCCAACATTTATTGTTGTTTGTATTCTTTTTTTTTTTTTAATCTTTATTTTATTTATATGTGGTGCTGAGGATTGAACTCAGGGCTTCACATATGGTAGGGGAGTGCTCTACCTCTGAGTCAAACTCCAGCCCTGTTTGTATTCTTAATAGCTGCCATTCTGACTGGAATAAGATGAAATTTTAGAGTAGTTTGGATGTGCATTTCTCTAATAGCTAGAGATGTTGAACATTTTTTCATATATTTGTTGATTGATTGTGTATCATCTTCTGAGAAGTGCCTGATTGGTTCCTTGGCCCATTTATTGATTGGGTTATTTATTTTTTTGGTGTTATTTTTGAGTTCTTTATATACCCTAGAGATTAGTGTTCTATCTGATGTACAAGTGGAAAAAATTTGCTCCCATTCTGTAGGCTCTCTATTCACCTCACTGATTGTTTCTTTTGCTGAGAAGAAGCTTTTTAGTTTGAATCCATCCCATTTATTCTTGATTTTAATTCTTGCGCTATAGGAGTCTTAACAAGGAAGTAGGGGCCTAATCCGTTATAATGGAGATTGGGGCCTACTTTTTCTTCTATTAGACGCAGGGTCTCTGGTTTAATTCCTAGGTCCTTGATCCATTTTGAGTTGAGTTTTGTGCATGGTGAGAAATAGGGGTTTAATTTCATTTTGTTGCATATGGATTTCTAATTCTCCCAGCACTTTTTGTTGAAGAGGCTATCTTTTTTCCAATGTATGTTTTTGGTGCTTTTGTCTAATATAATATAACTAATTATGGTGGGTTAGTCTCTGTGTCCTCTATTCTGTTCTATTGGTCTACTAGTCTATTTTGGTGCCAATACCATGCTGTTTTTGTTACTGTTGCTCTGTAGTATAGTTTTAAGGTCTGGTTTAGTAATGCCACCTGCTTTGCTTTTCTTGCTAAGGATTGCTTTGGTTGTTCTGGGTCTCTTATTTTTCCAGATGAATTTCATGACTGCTTTTTCTATTTCTATGAAGAATGTCATTGGGATTTTGATTGCAATTACATTAAATCTATATAGTGCTTTTGGTAGTATGGTTATTTTGACAATATTAATTCTGCCTATCTAAGAACAAGGTAGATCTTTCCATCTTCTAAGGTCTTCTTTCGTTTTTTTCTTTAGTGTTCTGTAGTTTTGTTGTAGAGATCTTGCACTTCTTTCATTAGGTTGATTCCCAAGTATTGTATTTTTTTTGAGGCTATTGTAAATGGGGTAGTTTTCCTTTCTGAGGATTTGTCACTGATTACAGAAATGCCTTTGATTTATTGGTGTTGATTTTATATCCTACTACTTTGCTGAATTCATTTACTAGTTCTAGAAGGTTTTTGGATCTTCTAGGTATAGAATCATTTCCAAATAGTGCCAATTTGAGTTCTTCCTTTCCTACGTGTATTCCTTTAATTTCTTTCATCTGTCTCATTGCTCTGGCCAGTGTGTTTCAAGAGCTATGTTAAATAGAAGTGGTGAAAGAAGGCATCCCTGTCTTATTGCAGTTTTCAGAGGAATGCCTTCAATTTTTCTCTGTTTTCAATGATTTTGGCCTGGGGCTTAGCATAGATAGCTTTTACAATGTTGAGTTATGTTCTTGTTATCCCTAATTTTTCTAGTGTTTTGAACATGAAGGGGTGCTATATTTTGTCAAATGCTTTTTCTGCATCTATTGAGATCATCATATGGTTCTTATCTTTAAGTCTTTTAATGTGATGAATTACATCTATTGATTTCCGTATGTCGAACCAAACTTGCATTCCTGAGATGAACCCCACTTAATTGTGGTGCACTATCTTTTTGATATATTTTTGTATTTGATTTGCCAGAATTTTATTGAGAATTTTTGCATCTATGTTTATTAGAAAAATTGGTCTGAAATTTTCTTTCTTTGATGTACCTACCTTTGCTTGGTTTTGGAATCAGGATGACATTGGCCTCATAGAATGAGTTTGGAAGTGCTTCCTCTTTTTCTATTTCCTGAAATAAATTGAAAAGTATTGATATTAGTTCTTCTTCTTTTTCTTATTTTTTAAACTTCTGTTTTTTAATATTTATTTTTTAGGTGTTGATGGACACAACACAATGCCTTTATTTTTATGTGGTACTGAGGATCGAACCCGGGTCCCGCCTGTGCTAGGCGAGTGCTCCACTGCTGAGCCACAATCCCATCCCCTATTAGTTCTTCTTTAAAGGTCTTGTAGAACTTGGCTGTGTATCCATCTGGTCCTGGGCTTTTCTTGGTTCATAGGCTTTTGATGGCATCTTCTGTTTCGTCACTGGAAATAGATATGTTTAAATTGTGTAGATAGTCCTGATTGAATTTGGGCAAATCATATGACTCTAGAAATTTGTCATTGCCTTTGATATTTTCTATTTTATAGGAGTACAAGTTTTCAAAATAATTTCTATTATATTCTGTTTTCTGTAGCATCTGTTGTGATATTTCCTTTTTCATCACTTATGTTAGTAATTTGAGTTTTCTCTCCTTCTCTTTGGATCTGAAGTTTTTTGACCTTGAAATTCATACGTTTAGGCTTAATTTATTTTTGCCTATTTAATAATTTTGTTTTAAAATAAACTTCTACAATTAAAGCCAGCTCCTTTGCTTGTTTAAATATATGTTTTAGTGGTTGATGGACCGTTATTTTATTTTTATGTGGTGCTGAGAATTGAACCCAGTGCCTTACACATTCTATGCAAGTGTTCTACCACTCAGCCCCAGCCCCAGCCCCATAAAGCCAGCTTCTTTTTTAAAATGGAAAATTATTGGTACAACATAGTGTCCTTTAGTTGTGTAATAGATTTATGTACAGAATATTTTCAGAATGATTTCAGATGAAGTTGGAATTAAAACTACTAGTGTGGGAATGAATTGTAGTTGTTGGCTTATTTTTCTTGATAACTTCATTAATGTTGTGATTAGTGTTTGGGAGGGATGAAACTTTAGGATCTAAGAAGTTCTTTCCCCCCAATAACTTAATAATAATTTAGGAAATATTAATGAATAAAAGAAGAAAATTAAAATCATCCTAAATCCCTCACCAGTAAATAACTACAATTCATTTTTATTGCATATTGTTCCTTAATCTTTTTGTCTCTCATTACTGGATGATAACAAGAATGTTTAAGGATTGGTGGGCACAAGATACCAACCATACAGTGCTTAATTAGCAAACTGGCTGAATGATAATGTACAGGTTGAATGTCAACTATTTGTAAATAAATGTGTGTAAACTTAATTTTGTTCCAAAATACCAGTATATTTGCTCTTTATTTGTGAGCCTCTTCATGTTAATAGAGTTGGTTTGTGATTTTTTAAAAATCAATTTCTTAATGTTATGAGTTTAACATTTTTAGGTTGCTTCCTCTTTTCTGCCTCTTTGTTTTTGGTGCTGGGGATTGAACCCAAGGGTTCTTTACTAAGCTACATACCTATCAGTTTTTGTAATTTTGAGACAGGTGTCACTAAGTTGCAAGGGCCTCACTAAGTTGTCAGTTCTGGCCTCTATCTTGTGGTCCCTTGGCCTCTGCCTTGGAGTTGCTGGATTTACTGGCATAAGCCACCATGCCTGGCCTTCTGCTTTTCTCCTTTTAAGACCCAGGATAAGCATCTTTGCAGTCTTGTCTCTTATTTTCTTGGAATAGATTCCTTTGTAAGAGATTTCTGAGTTAAAGGGATGTACACTTTTCAACTCTGAACATTTGTGGCTGCCCTGCCCACCAGAAAAGCTAGGCTGTGTCTCCTTGAGATTTCTTGCTATAACATGCCTTCAGTAGTTCCTTCTTATATTTTATAGGAAAACCACTAAAATCGTTGGCCTGAGCAAAATAGAAATTACATAGCTGATATCTACTATTTTGAAAAAGGGTAATTTCATTGTTGATTTACTTATATAGCAAATGAGTGAGTGAGTGCAAACAAACATAGAGGAGCTTTTGTAATGTTGAAAATGCCGTCCATTTTGATTGAGTAGCTCTGTGTGAGTCAGGTCCAGAATTTGTGTTTTTGAAATTGAGCAGTGTGGGTTGAGGTTGGTGAAGAAAGATGCTGAAAAAGATATATTTGAGTGCAATTGTTTTACCTGGTAGAAATGTTTGTAAATCATAATTATAAAATTACCTCAGGGAACCTAATCAGCTGAATCTGTTGCTTACCTGAGCAAACAAATATTTAAAAATAACAGAGAAAGCTGAAACTCACCTTTTGGTTATAAAAACCTAGGAATAAAATCAATAATGTATTGATGCAGAGGAAAGTGCATGAGTGATAGTAAAAAATTTCAAAGGCCTGTATGATGTACAGGCCTTTGTAGATTTCAGGTATAGTATTTCAAATTAGTAGGGAAAGAGCAAACTGATCAGTAAATGTGGTATTAGCTTCATTTGGGGAAAACAGATCCTTACTTCTAATTCAGTAAGATCTTGCAAAACAGGGTAGTATCCAGAAGCCATAAAATATTGACAGATTGGACTACATTAAAAAGAAAAAAAATCAGTCTGTAAAATATACAGTACTTTTAAAGACAGGTGACAAACTGAGGTAAAAATTTTGTAACTTAAAACAAAGAAGGAATATAATTGTCAGAATGGAAATTGGATGGGATAATATTTTTAACTGCTTTTTTGAAGATGTGGGGAAAATTTACACACTTTGGGCGCAACATTTTAGTAGCTCAATTTGGTATTTTCTAACAAAAAATTAGAGATGTTTATAAGTCCTTGGCACTGCATTTCTGCATTTTGGAATCTCTCCTGACAAACACTCATTTATGTGTATGATGATTAATGTACAGGGGTATTCACTGTATTACTATAACTGAAAAAAACAAAAACAAAAACCTATCTGAATGTTTATCAACAAGAAAATATTTAATAGATTAGAACAGTCACCTATTATAATATTATACAAGTGTCCAAAAGAATTAGCCAAGGTACATGAACAGCAAGGGAACAAGCTTATGGTATTCCATATATGAATCTGATAAGGCATAATCCTAGGAGCAAGATTCAGGACCTTATATCTCCTTGGAGAAATGGCTGATTCTAGGATTAGGGCATGTTAGATTCAAGATGATTCTAAAACATCTTGTGTCAAAAAGCAAGAAAATGCTAAAAGCATCATCATCATCATCATCATCATCATCATCCTGGGAATTTTAAAGGAACACAGGAGCATGTTTGAAGGGTTAACCACTGGTCAAATCTGGGACAGTTTAAGTACCAAAATAAGTAAGAGCTGTTATTTAAGATTGAAGCTATTGAATGAGAGTTCATGAATCTCTGCTTATAATATGCAGATTATAAATAAATATATGGGGGTAAAAGATACCTTTTCCTTACAGTGGAATGCTGACTAATAATACAGAAAAAAAAATGATGCAGAATGACTATTATGCAATCCTCATGCACAGATGATAGAAGCAAGAATCAAGAATTGACTCTTAAGTCAAGGGAAGGAATTTAATGAGAAGCAGGGTATTCAGTGGTTTTAGAGTATCTTTCAAATGTACTTATTACAGAAGGAAAATTGTAAATGTGTAGTGAAGAAACCATACAGCATTTTAACCAAGTGACCAAGCTAAGATTCTTGGTGAGGAAACCCCCTTTATATAGATAGTATTGCCTCCCAGAAGTATGCACCTAATTATGAGGAAACCATAGACAAAGTCAAGATGGAGCCAAAAAATGTACTACCTTCTTAAAAAATTTCATTGTCATGAGAGAGAAAAAGCAAAGATAAGGAACATTAAATCTCCACATTAAAGGAGATTAAAGAGATAGTTGAGAGATATTGAATGTGGATTATAGATTGGAAAATACTGATTTGGTAACTATGGTGATTAAGAGAATATCTTTACTTGTAATAAATATACACTGAAAGTGTATCTGTTGAGGGATGAATAGGCATGGTGAATGCAACCTGCTTTCAGATAATTTAGAAGAAAATAAAGAGTGTGATAAAGCAAATGTGGCAAAATATCAAAAAACACGGTATGAGAAATTCTGGTTAAAGGGTATGAGAGTTCTTTATATTGTCTGGGAAACTTGTCTATAGATTTAAAATAATTTACAAAATTAAAAAGTTAAGAGCAAAGTAAAATATGTGTAATGTATCCTTATATATATTTGAGCAATATATGTACATATTACACTCAAATGTAAAGAAGAAGGTATGGAAAGATATGCATCAAACACCAGTGAAGAAATAAGGATAGGAGTACTGTGAAGGTTGACATTCTCTTTCTATATGAAGTTGTAGCAGTAAGTCTATATTCATGTATTTTGTAATAAACCAAAAGGAACTTATTTGTCACATCTTTTTTGTTTTTATAACTTGTGACTTAAGTTATTAAAATTCTTAATTTTATTTGATGACTCCTTTTTTTGAGAGTATAATAAAAAAATTTCTAGAAGGGAACTAAACTTCTATAACTTTATGAAGGCAAATAGACTAAAACATAAATGCTTCTGGGGGCTAGGGATATAGTTCAGTTGGAAGAGTGCTTTCCTTGAATGTACAAGCCCCTGGGTTCAATCCCCAGCATTCCCACCAAAAAAAAAACCTTGTGAGGTGAGATGAGGTTGGAGTGTTTTCTTTTTACAAAATGGTCATGGAATGTTATTTTCAATGTAAATTTATTGACACAGACATCTTTATACTAAATGCATAAGCTATACAATTGTGAATTTTCATGAAATTGATATATACCTGTGTAACCAGTATTCAGATCAGGGACCAGAACATTACTACCATCCTGGAAAGTCTCCAGGAAGAATCCCTTTCCTTTGCCATTCTCTGCTCCCTCAAAAGTAGCCATTATCCTGACCTCCAGTACTACACATTAGTGTTGCTTCTTTTGAATTTTACACAGATTAAACTATATAGTGTGATTGTGTGTGTGTATGCCTTGTTTCTTTTGTTTAACATATCCATGTTGTTAGGCTCAGTTTGTTGAACATAAAATTCCATTGTATGAATATATTACAATATATTTATTTGTCTGTTTCACTATTTATGGACATTTAAATTGTATCAGTGGACTCTTGGTAAAATATTATTGCTACAAACATTCCTGAATGTTCTTTTAATGTATGAATTTCTTTGGCTATAGTCCCAGAAGTGGAAAAGCCAAATACCACGTTAAGGGTGATTCTCTAATAGATATGTTTCACTTGAGTGGGTACTGCAAAACCATCTTCCAAAGTGGACTTACTAATTTATATTCCTACAAGTAGTATGGGACTGTATCCTCATCAACACATGAACAAATAAAACTTGACTTTTATTTTTCCCCTTCTAGGGGTTGTGTACTATACATTATGGTTTTTACTTCATTACCCTGGGGATTATTGAAGCCAAGCAACTGTTAATGTACTTACTGGATTTGTTCTTTTTTTTCCCCCTGGTACTGGGGATTTAACCTAGGGGACTTTGCCATTGAGCTACATATCCTGCTCTTTTTATTTTGAGACAGTCCTAGTAAGTTGCTTAGTGCCTTGCTAATTTGCTTTGATCTTGCCATCCTTCTGTCTCAGCCTCCGACTTCTTTGGGTGGAATTACAAGTGTATGCCACCTGATTAGATGTGTTCTTCTGTGAAGTGTCTAAAATTTGATTGAATATGTGTATTACAAATATTTTCATTCAGTGATTTTTATTTTTACTTATTAGGATGTCCTTTTCTGAGCAGAAGTTCTTTATATCTGTCATTTGTTGTCTTTTATAGCTAGTGATTATGTACATAATTTAAGAAACCTATGCCCATGATATCTTATTTCATTTTTTATATGTATTTTTTATGACTCAATATTAGATGATATTACTTGATGTAAAAAAAAAAATCTTTCTCACCTACTTCCCTTATTTTGTCTCTCAACAGAGTAGGCCTTAAGGATATTGTTGGTATCCATTTGCCAAAAAATGTGAAATTTCAGAGTCCAGCTTATTCTTATATAGATAATGAAGAAACAGTTGAACCTTATACAACTGAAAAGATGAGTCGAGTTCCTGGAGGATATTTGGCTTTGACAGAGTGTTTTGAAATTATGAAAGTAGATTTTAACAATCTTCAGGTAAAAAAACAAAAAAATTCAATTATGATTTTTAAGCATTAAATTTCATGCATTGTTTAATGGATAGGACAATCTTATTTTTATGAGTTTGCATAAGATTTTGCTTCTGATATATAAAGAATTGATAAGAGAGTAATTAGAATTCCCTCCTGAAATTATTCACTCACTTCAAGCACAAATAAAAATTTCCTAAGATTTATTGGGATATATAGTTTGCCAAATGCTTTCACATTTGTCTTAGAGAGCTCTAACACCATGTTTCAGAAGAATTAGAATTATCCTTGTGCTATACAGATGAGGAAACTTTTTTTTAATTGTAGATGGACACAGTACCTTTATTTTATTTATTTTTCTCTGGTGCTGAAGATCAAACCCAGTGCCTCACATGTGCAAGGCAGGCACTTCACCACTGAGCTACAACCCCATTTCCAGATGAGGAAACTATTTATCACATTAAACAGTTTCTGCCAGAATATTCAGCATGGAAATGCAAGGGCAAGACTTCTAGACCAAGTTTTTTTTTCTCTCTGTGTCATGATGCCTTTTTAAACTAATAGTATTCCTTGAAATGAACACTAATCCAAATTTCAAGATTAAATTTGCATTATGGTGACTAGCCATTCCATTGCCCAGGACTGAGGAGTTCCTGAGACAGAGGATGTTCAGTTTTAAAACTAGGGTGGTCTTAAGAAAAGCAGGGCAAATTGATCACCCTAGTTTGTATTTGTGTATGTGGTAGAAATTGAGAAAGGCCACATAGAACGCTTTTATGAGGTCTTTTTTTTTTTAGTTGTAAATAGATTTTTTATTTTATTTATTTATTTATATGTGGTGCTGAGGATCAAACCCCAGGGCCTCACACATGCCAGGCAAGTGCTCTACCCTGAGCTACAACCCCAGCTCCATGAAGCTCTTTAATTAAGGTTAAATGTTCAAGTATACAGATGTTTTAGATGAAGCCACCTGGGGACCGAAGATTTTGTGAAGGTCATTTTAGCCTAAGATTTAAAAAATTTAATAGAAGCTTTATCCTCTAATAACTGTTGTTTGGTTATTATTGAGGTATTCTCCAACTAATTTTAATATTTTGGTTTTGCTTCCTGAGGCAGAGCAGTCTTCTTCCTAAGTATAATTGTTAGGAAGACTGAAAGTATAAGTATATAATCTGAGCAACATTCCAATAGGGAATAACACCATTGTAGTTGCTGATTACCTCAAAGCTATCCTTTTATTATTTTAATTTTTCTTTGCCATATACATTATTAAGGTTTTAATTTTGAAAGCATCACCTGCCTGTTTAACAATACTTTCAAGCCATACAGAATTGAAAATGAAAAAGCTCTGGTATTTTTCTTCCCTTTTTAAATCTTGGCCCCTCTTCCTCAGGTCAGGAGTTTGGAGTGTATCTTTCAGACTAGAATTTTCTGTTTATACACCTTTTTTTAAAAAAAATATTTATTTTTTTAGTTGTAGTTGGACACAGTACCTTTAGTTATTTATTTTTATGTGGTGCTGAGGATCGAACCCAGGCCCTTGCACGTGTCAGTCCAGTGCTCTGTGGCTGAGCCACAACCCTAGGCCACCATCATCCCTTTTTAAACAAAATAATTCTTGTGACTTTGCTACTTGCTTTGTCATCCAATATATCACGAAATTTCTTGCAGTGGTGATGTCTATCTGCCTATTCTTTGAGTAGCTGAGTGATACTCTAATATAACAGATCAAAACTCCTGATCCAGTAGTCTTGAGGTAGTTTTAGATATCCACGTTACTGGTTGCTTCAGAGTGCTGGGAAGGCTATTTCAGGGATGTTCAGTGTATGAAATCCTCTCATTCATTTTACATTTTTTTCTCTAAGGAATTAAAAAGTCTTGCAACTAAAAAACCTGACTCAATTACTATTCCTGTTGTTAAAGAAGGCACATTAGATGCTGTTGTGGTTTGGTTTGTGCTTCAGCTCGATGATGAACACAGTTTATCCACAAGTCCTAGTGAGGAAACATGTTGGGAACAGGCTGTTTACCCTGTGCAGGACCTTCCAGGTAGGTCTTGTCTAGTTTTTGTTTTGTTTTTTTAAAAAAGTGTTGCTTGAATGCTCTGAGTATTCAAATCATGACTAAAAAGGGAAAAAACAAAACTCATAAAACTTTGGATATGAAGTTTTCAGTCAAGGGAAGTTGGTTAAATCTTTGAGAAGTTTTTTTTTTTCAAAAGTAGATATACATAATTAATATAAGTAGTTAAAGAAGAGAGATTAAAACCAACTCTGTTACATACCACTCAAGAATATTTATCACTGGTTTTTTAGTTATCAGTAAGTGAAAGAAATGCTGTTTTTGCTGTTGTTTGTGTTTTTAATGGAAAGTATTGGAAAATGCTTTTAGTGTAGGAGTTTTAACCCCTTGATGTATCTGATAACATCTGTGGAGACTCAGTCATAAATATGCACATACTAATAAACAAAAGCTGGCACTTCAGGGAGTTCATGGATGAATGAATTTACTAAGGAAGTTCTGTATTAAAGATAATTTTTGTGTGGAAATTTTTTTTTACAGCAATTTGATGAGTTTCAGTGAGTTTACAGCAGTTGAATTATATAGAAAAGCTCTACCCTTTTTAAGTAGAAAGGCAGTACATTTCGTTTTAGTCTCCTAGGGATCTAATTTGACAAGGTCATTAAGTTATGGATCTGTATAGTGTGTGGCTAGTGTGATGTTTTTAATTGGTAGATTTGGATTCATATCTCAAATCTGCTACTTACTGACTCCCTGTAGACTGGCCTTGCTAGTCATTTCTCCATTTTTGTTGTGATATATATATATATATATATATATAAATGAGATGGCACTGTCTACGTTTAGCAGTATTATTGTAGGAATTATTAGAGATAAAGGGTATGAAATGTCTACCACAGTGATTGGCACTCAATAAATTATACACACACACACACACAAACATATATTTTATATCTGTATATTTATTTTCTCTCAGAGTTAACTTATATGTCATTTAAAAAAATATTTTTTATCAATTGTTTTTTATAACTTTTATTTATTTATTTATTTATTTTTATGTGATGCTTAGGATTGAACCCAGGGCCTTGAACATGCTAGGCTCTACTGCTGAGTCACAAACCCAGCTCGAATTGTCATTTTTTAAAAAGTATTTTTGGAGAAGAGTCATTTAAAATGTTTAAATGTAAGAATAACAACTTGTACTTTTAACTGGTTCTAGAGCTGGTGAGAAGGTATTATGATTATTCATTTTCATTGTAAAGTTTTACCACATGTGAAACTCATAGAAAAGAGTACTTGTAGAACATAGTTCTTTCTTACACTTTGAAATTCCTAAGCATGCAAGAATATCTAAAAATTAACTGATTAGAAATATTTCAGACAGGATTCTGATGAATGCTGACTTGTTTTTTGAAAATTTTTCTTAGAGAAAAGAATGTCATGTTAAGTTAAAGTGAAATTTGATTTTGATTCCTGAATTTTTTCTATGGCCATACCACCCTGAACGCGCCCAATCTCATCTGATTCCTTAATTTTGTCTCTCTTTAGTTTTGTTAGCTTTATTATCAAAGATGATTGAGAATTCCCTGCAGCCATCTGCCCCGCCTCCCTGACCCATCTTCCCTATGGTGGTACCTATTGATAGCAGTAAACAAAACAAAACAAACCTATAATACTGATAGTGTTACAGTCCAGTAATAGAGCTCTTAAGTCTTTCTGTTATGGTACAAATTAATCGAATTTCCAAATTTTAGTTTTTCCCTAGTAAAGCTGGTGAGATTTTCCTAGTTTTTTAAAATAGTAAATTAATAGATGTAATCCTTTCTGTAGTTATTAAAAGAATTGTGGATTAAATGGGGGGATTGGAGATGTTTATGTGATCTTCAGGCTAACAAGCATTCCATATTAATCAGTTATACTATTTCTCTCTTATTAATGAAGACTACTGGATGAAGCCTGGAGATCATGTGACAATGGAAGTATCTTGTCAAGACTGTTACCTAAGAATCCAAAGTATCAGTGTTTTAAGTTTGGAACAAGAAATGGAAGTTACAAAAAGTTTTACTAAGGATACAGACTTACTATCTTCGGGAAAGGAGGCTGAACTCTGTAGTGCCCTGGCTAACCTTCAGACCAGCAAGCCAGATGCTGGAGAGCAAATATGTGTATTGGAATCCACAGAAATTGCTTTACTTAATAACATCCCATATCATGAAGGCTTTAAAATGGCAATGAAAAAGGTATTCTCTTCATTGACTCCAGAAAAACTGTGTCAGGTGATGGATCCTCACTGTGAGGATAATGAAATGAGCTCAGGAACTGGAAGGCAAAACACTGTGCAGAGCACCTCCGAACCTTTATATGTGTTAGATGTGTCTGAAGGCTTCTCTATTCTGCCTATAATTGCTGGCACACTCGGGCAGGTTAAGCCTTACAGTTCTGTGGAAAAAGACCAGCATCGTATTGCTCTGGACCTCATATCTGAAGCCAATCACTTTCCTAAAGGAACACTTGAGTTTTGGCTGAGACATGTGGAGGATGAATCTGCTGTGTTGCAAAGGCCCAAATCAGACAAGTTGTGGAGCATAATCATACTGGATGTCATCGAGCCATCTGGGCTCATTCAGCAAGAAATAATGGAAAAAGCTGCAATATCGAGGTAAACCACAAAATAGAAATTTTTAGTTTTTTCAGTCTCAAACATCACATAAATTCTTTTAGTTCTTTAAGGGCACAACCATAAAAATGAAAGGCCATTGTGTGTTGGTCAAGCATTGTATTTGTGATTTCATGTTTACCTCTGTGTGCATATTATTACTGATTTTTTTTTTTCCCTGAAGAAATCTCTGTACTGTAGGAGTGAAGAACAAAGTCTACTTTGTGTTAGGATAGCCTATGTTAATATAAGGACTTAGGTCAAAATCTATTAAAACAGGTAAGATGTTCAGGGTGAAAAAGATTAAAAAAACAAATTTATCTTTTATGATGTAAGAAACGTGTTCATGTTTGATGATATATTGGGAGAACTCATTCTTGAGAACGAGTACCAGTACTCCTGAGTCTTAATGTCTTTATTTTATAATATAGTTCTCTCTCTAAAGCTAAAGGTATTTCTCCTTTAACTTATGTTCCTCAATGTAAACTTGGCCTTATTATTTAATATAGAAAGTAAATTTGGCTATGTTTCAAAGTCCTTTAGTTATGATGCTGAGATCTGCAAAGAAGGCAATATATAACAGTTGGAATCCCAAACTTATGAAAAATACATTTTTACAGATTAAAATTTTACATTATAGGGAGAGGGTTGTTTTGTATTAAAAGAAAGAACGGTGGGAATGCAGACCCAAGATTGAAATAGTATAAAGTTAAATTATCTATTCAAGGAAGATACTTGACAAACCTGGGAAAAAAGTATTTTGCTTACATAGTTAATTATAGTCAGATTTTATATGCAGTTTCTTTTGTTACTCACATTTATTGCTTGTGTGTGTGAACCAATAAAAACAACCATTGTGATTTTCTTTTTAAACAATCTTGTATGTATATATTATTATACTGGCTCTGATCTTAAATAAATTATGGAGCTATGGAGGCTTAAGTATATACACATATAATTGTGTGTGTAATTTTAAACAGATGGACCTGAAACAAGATCTAAAAGAGTTCATATCCAGTATCAGATTTGTTCCTGAATTTACTAAGTTGTATAATTTCTTTGTTAGATGAGAATACTGGGTTAAATGTCTTTGAAGATAGTTCAACTCTGAATTTCTTACATAGTGAAGTTTAACTTATTTTTGATATAGTCACCTTGGAAAGTCTTATATTTCCCAAATGATTTATTTTTAGTTTTGATTTAATTTAAACTTACAGGAAAATTGCAAGAGTAGTACAGAGTACTTTTTACACATATTTACAGATTATTTACATTTCTTTTATTTATTTTATAATTTTCTTTGATTCTTTATTCTACTTTTCTTTTTTGAGAGTAGGTTAGAGACATAGTACTCCTTTACTACTACATAACTTATGTATGTATTTTTTTTTATTAGAGCATTATAGTTGCAAACAGTAGTTGTGTACATTTTGAAAAAATCATACATGTGAGGAATTTGATTTTAAACTCTCTCTTCCTTTGCTTCTTCTCCTGCTTCCCATTATTCTCTTCCTCTGTGTTACTGATATTCCTTTCACTCATTTATTTAGTTTTGACTTGTTCTTTCTACATGTACATAAAGGTGAAATTTACTGTATATATTCATATATGTGTATAATGTGATTTTGTTAAATTCATTTCATATTTCTTCCCTTTTCCTATCTTTTCTTTCTCCCTCTTGTTCTCCTCCTCCTATTCCATTGATGTTACCTATATCTTTATGATATTAAACCCTCCTCCCCCTTACTGCTTTCTTTCTGTTATTTTGCTCTAGCTTCTACATATCAGAAAAATATTTGGCTCTTTATTTTCTGAGTCTGGCTTATTTCACTTAGCAGGACTGGTATTACTTCTGAGATAACTCAGCAGAAAGTCCATTTGGTCCTGGGCTTGCCTTTTTTTCCCCTAAGACTTTTCATTGCTGTATTGATCTGTTTAGGGTTTCTGTATCTTCCTGGTTCGATTTAGGCAGGTCATATATCTAGAAATTTGCCAATATCTTCTAGATTTTCCAGTTTATTAGAGTACAACTTTTCAAAATAGTTGTTTTTTCAGTCTTTATTTCATTAATTTGGCTCTGATCTTATTTATTTCCTATCTTCCACTGACTTTGGAATTAGTTTGTTCTTCCTTTACTAAGGCTTTGAATTAGAACATAAGCTTATTTATTTGGGAATCTATTTTTTTATTTAGGTACTCAATGTTCTAAATTTTCTTCTTAGAACTACTTTATACCATCTGAGAGATTTTGATATATTGTATGTCCTCATTTGTTTCAAAAATTTTTCTTGAATTCTCTTTTCTTTTTTGATCCATTCTTTATTTAAAAGAGTATTCTTCAATGTTTATGTGTTTATGTGGTTTCTATGGTTTTTCTTGCTGTTGATTTTTAGATTCATTCCATTATGATGTGATAGGATGTATGGATTATATCAGGTTTTTTTTGGTGTGTATGTGTGTTTGCTAAGACTTAAACACTGTGACCTAGAAGATGATCTGTTTGGAAAAGTTTGCATAAGTTGCTGAGAATAGGGAAATTCAGTTGTTTGGGTGAAATATTCTGCACATGTCTATTAGGTCCATTTGATTTGTAGTATTATTTAGGTTGGACATATCTTTATTAATTTTATGCCTTGAGAACCTGTCTGCATGATAAGGGTTGTTGAAATCACAATATTACAAGTATTATTTTATTGGGGTTTATCAGATTATAGTTTATATATATAGTTTATCAGATATATAGTGTTTAGCATTTTTAAAAAAATATAATTGGATGTGCTGACATTTGGGGCAAATATACTTACTATCATTATATCTTCTTGTTGGATTGATCCCTTTGCCAGGATGTAGTGTCCTTTTTTTGTCCCATGATTAATTTTTGCTTGAAATCTGCTTTGTCAGATATGACAAAGTTTTCTGACTCCATTTGCATGGTGTATTTGTTTCCGTCCTTTTTCTTTCAGCCTGTGTCTTTGCTAATGACATGAGTCTCTTGCAAATAGCATCTAATTGCATCTTGTTTTTTTTTTTTTAATATTTATTTTTTAGGTGTAGGTGGACACAATATAATGCCTTTATTTTATGTGGGTCTGCCCATGCTAGGTGAGTGCTCTACTGCTGAGCCACAATCCCAGCCCTGCTTTTTTTTTTTTTTTTTAGCCCATTCTGCTAGTCTGTGTCTTTTAATTGAGGAGTTGAGACCATTTATATTCAGGGTTTTCATAGCTATGAATTTGTGGTTTCCTGCCATTTTGATTTCTTGTTATTGATTGCTCTTCTATTGATATTCATTTATTTAGACACTTTGGGATTTGTTTTTGGATTCCTCTATGTGCAGTTTATCTTTGTAGTACTGGATTAATGGTCATGGGTTCTCTTAGCTTACCGTTGTCATGGAAAGTTTTTATTTCTCCATTTGAAAGAGATCTTTCCTGGGTTTAGCAGTCTTGGCTGGCAATAGTTTTCTAATAGAGCTTGTAATATTCTTATTTCAGGACCTCCTTGATTTTAGTGCCTGAGGCGAGAAGTCAAAGGTGAACTCTAAATATGACTTGATGTTTCTCTCTTGCAGCTTTCAATATTCTTTATAATTTTCTATGTTAGCCATTTTGATTATGATGTGTCTTGGGAGAACTTCTTTTTTGATCTGCTCTATTTGGGGACTTGTATGATTCCTGTGTTTGAATAGCTATATAATTTCTGATATGGGGAAAGTTTTCTGTTAATATCTCTTTGACAGTTTTCTTTATGCTTTTATACTGTATCTTCTATGATCTCTTCTATACCGGTGACACTCATGTTTGATCTGTTGATGTTGTCCCAGAGTTCATCATTTTTTTCTCCTTTATTGAATACTATTATACTCCAGTTCATGTGCCCTGTATTCAATCCCTGGTTTTTTATCTGTAAGGGCTGAAGTACTATTTTATTTTTATTTTTTTAATATTTATTTTTTAGTTTTTTTAGGTGGACACAATATCTTTATTTTTATGTGGTATTGAGGATCGAACCCAGTGCCCTGCGCATGCCAGGAGAGTGCGCTACTGCTTGAGCCACATCCTCAGCCCTGAAGTTCTATTTTCTACACACTCTAATCTGTTGTTGTTACTTCCAAGTGAATTTTAAATTTGATTCATTGGTTTTGAAATTAAATGATTCATTTGATTCATTCATGGTTTTGATTCCATGAATTCTGATTTGCTTCTTTTCCATATTTGTATTTCTTTATTGAAGTGGTCTGTCATCTCCTGTATTAGCTCTTAATGCATTCCTTAGATCTTCTTTTAGTTCATTGAACGTTTTAATGAGACAGAAAGAAGCAAATTTTAAAAAAATTTTTAATGTTTATTTTTTTAGTTGTAGTTGGATACAATACCTTTACTTTAGTTATTCATATGTGGTGCTGAGGATTGAACCCAGGACCTTGCACGTGCTAGATGAGGCCTCCACAGTTGAGCCATAACCCCTTGAATACAACATTTTTAAGTGCCCAAAGGAAAAACATGTAAAACTGAAATTTTATATTTAGAAAAACATTCTTTAGGAAGGAAGGCAAAATAAATATATTTTCATATAATGAAAAGCTAAGAGCCAGCAGATTTGTTTAAAAAATAATTATTGGTCTTCAGACAGAAAGAAAATGATACTGGAAGGAAAACTGGGCATCAGTGATAAAGAGAAAGCAACACAATAACAAATATGTGGGTAAATGTAAGAGGTTATCATCTTTTTGTCTTCTTTAAGATATGTTTTTGACTTTTGAAAGGAAAATTAAGAAAATATCTAAAACTGAACAGAAGGGAAAATACTGCATATAAAAATTTGTGGGTGCAATGAAAACAGTGCTTAGAGATTTATAACATTAAATGCTTATGTTAACTAAGAAGAAAGTTCTCAATAATTTTAAACTTCCTAAGTTTAAAATGATGATCAAAATAAACCCAACACTAGCCCAAAGTACAAACTGTACAAACTATCCACCTTATAGATTTATTAGATCAATT